AGAGAAGGATGCTGCCTCCTTACCGAACCATGGTGAAGAGTTTCTCGGCCCCCTTGGTATAGTCCAAGGGATGTGGGGTGTGGCAACTTTTAAGTATAAATTTCGAAACGCGTCCCAGGCCGTCTCAACTGAGGACTCTGGGTCTATTGCCCAATCTACTTAAGATGCTGAGTGCATGATATCTGGTGTGTTTGCTTTCCAGACGTTGGGTCTGGATTGGGCTGACGCGTGCTCGTGACCGACAGTTATATGGAAGTCGAAAATTAAAGCAGTGTGATCACTTACTTAGGGGTGGCATATAATGAAGGTTCGCAACGTCATCCACATAGTGAGTGAGTATCGGATCTAGTAAGGATGATTCAGTGTCCGGGTCGTAACTAGTCGCTTCCTTCACATGTTGTACTAGAGCACATGTGATAACCGCATCAACTAGTTCCTGCTCGAAGGAATTTTCTGACAATTCAGTTCGCAGATTTACCCAGTCTACCACAGATGCATTAAAGTCCCCTAGGATTAGACATCGGCCACTTTGTGACCAAGTACTGAGACTGTTCAGCAGGACTTCGTTTACCTCACAGCTTGAACTGCGATAGACCAAACCAATCAGCAGCTCTTTTGCCTTTCATTTCAAGCGGCAACTAACTAATTCACACGTCCCACTCTCATGGGATACACTGTCGATAATGGCAAATGGGATAGCATGTCTAATGAATAGAGCTACTCCCACTCCTTTACGATTTTATATTCTGTCGGCCCTTACTAACATAAAACCCTCGAAATCAAGTTCCATACTATCTATAGCCTGTGTCAGCCAGGTTTCTGTAACTGCGATTATGTCTGGCTTTGTAGAATCAATTTGTACACCTAGTTCCGATCGCTTATTAAGTAAGCTCCAGGCATTAGTGTAGCAGATCCGAAGCCTATTTTAGTGGCTTCGTGCTTCACCCAGAGTGGCTTCGGCATCATTCTCTGTCGAAGCCTTACAACCCGAAAATTTACAATTTTAGGTCCTTTTCGCCAGCGTCTAACCTAAGTTGTAGTTCTTTTTCGGGTTCCCGTCTTTTTACACGGTCTGCCAACAGTACGTCCTTTCGTATAAAGACTCCTGAACCCTTTAATTTGTGTCCATTCTGCAAAATTAGATCAAGTTCGTTCGAAGAGCCGAATACTACTTTGAGCAGTGTGGAATGATTTGGTTTCAAGTCCGCTAGACTCCCTAGTCTGTACACCTTTAGCAAGGTGACGCCGGTGATATTTTGAGGCATGAGTTGATTAAGCAGCTGCTTAATCAGCGCAATGTCATGCTCAAAACGAGCTTTAGGTTCAGAGCTCTCGCCCTCCTTGATTCTATGAAAAATAGCTGATCTGTCGCTATGATCAGCTTTCGATTTTTCAACTACTTTTACGGGGGCAGGGTTCCCTTTTATATCCCTACTTTTCTTCCTTACAACCTGTACCCATTCGTTAACGGTGCTAGTAGAAGCAATAACAGTTGCGTCAAACCTAGTGTTGGATTTGGGGGGGGGGTTGTCGACGACCTGAGAGGTCGGGTTGTGTTTACCGTTTGAAACCGATCGAGTCTTGCGATTACGGCTTCTAGGCGTTTCCTGTGGGATCTCATCTGGGAGACGGGGAACAGAAGAACCCACTTTCCTTGAGCTTTTGTTTAAGGCAGGCCTCTTTGGAGACTGCTTTTCCTTCTTCGACCGGCGTGAGTCATCTACTATCGAACTAACCTTAGCTTGCTTCATGTCGATTTGTGTGTCGACAGATCGAGTGCTGTTTGACGTGTTCCGACTACGCTTGCTAAAACACTTCTTTGCAGCATCAACCAGTGAGATGGCTTCGGTTAACAGGCTGTTTGCATCCGAACAGCACTGTTGACAAAGCCATACGCAACCCTTCTTACTGAAGCGTTTGAAAGCCGCAGGCGTTAAGTTCGTGCAAACTTCGTGGTACCAGCCTTTGCACTCGTCGCACGGCATGTCGCTTTCAACGGGATAACGACAACACAGACGTTGTTAACTGCTTTTTTTACACTGTCCAGTCATTTAAAAGGAGTCCTTTTGAAAAAGGAACGAGATGCGATGATACTCAGAAACAAAAAAATCAATGACCAAAAAGTGAAGAACTGTAGATTGTTAGGACCAAAAGTACTAACAGATACAACTGAAAATGAGGTACTCAAGAGTACCAACGACAAAACAGATTGAGAGAACGGTAAAAACGGCACTCTAGTCCAATACTTTGACTGAAATGAATTCAATTAAAGTGAAAACAGTAGTCTTGATACATTATAAACGATCAAAACAATGAACTTTACTCGGCGAGGAAAAATACCACTGTTCTTTTTAAATAGCGCGCGGATCACGAAGGAATGTTTAAGGTATGATTACTCAGTCTAATTTTCTTTCATTAAGGTATTTGTTAGGCAAGAGTATTTTAATAGGTTGAAGAAAATAAGTGATAACAAGGTATGGGTGGACATACAACTGACAAATGAGAGCGATTCAGAAAGAAGCTGAGAGTATGGGATTATGTGTGGTTATAAAATATAATTTAGTGCAAAAAACAGTATTGTGATATACAATTGGCTGTCTTCCTTTTATTATCAAAGCTATTAGAGCTCCTTTCGTTTTTTTGTATTATTATTTTTTTTTCAGGTATTATAGGGTCTTGAGTAGGCTTCGTATATTAGCGAATTGTCTAGTTTGCTTGTAATAGGATTTCTGGGTAGGAAGTGAAACCAATTCAACGTTCGTAACACGATTTAAAGAGGTATTTTGCGTGATAAATCAGCTTCAATACCTTAAGTCCGTGACATCCCACTAAACCATAAGGAGCCGTAATTAAACAAAATGTTCTGCCCTACAGACATGGGTGGATTGAAGTTATCTCCCCACCTTCATGTTTGCTGGTCAGTAACGCCACCCTCCCTCCTTTTGTGATGTCAGGCTCTCTTACGTTTGTGGTAAGTATGATTAATGCTTTAATCAAAGTACATAGTTGGAATACACTGTCTCTACTAGGTCCATGTTACAAGCAAATCAGATATTTAAAAATTCTGTTTTATGGGTTAGACGTCCATATAGTATATCACACTGCTATGAAAATAACTAATGGTTTAAAGAAGTAAGGATTAATAGTAAATCAAAAGATATGAGAGGGTATAAAATTGTAGAAAAAAAAAAAAAGACTTTAGGGTAAAAAAAATAAGACATTGAGAAACTCACAAGACTTTGTGGCCAAATTTTGAGCTTTGAATGATCGGCCTTAGTAGATCAGCATCCATAAGATTGAGCTATCTGTCTACTTGCAGTAGAAAAAAAAGCATGACTTTTAGGAAGAATAATGTACATTTAACCTGTAGAGATTTGGGGACTGAAAGCTAGGGTTTGGAGCATGAAGTCATGATTAATAAACAATGAATAATAGGAAAGGATAAGCCATATATTCTGTGATTTTGTTATATTCATATTAGTAACAGTCGAACTTGTTATAATTTTGTTCTTTCTAGATACTAGGCGGTCCGTAATAAAGTGCCTCATTGGTGGGCGGGAGTTCAAGGAAATGTTGAAGCTCTTTGGAGTCTAGAAATAGGGTTATTAGCTTTTTGAATCTGGTAAACGTATCACAGTTACGGATAGGCATTGGCAGCCTGTTCCACAATAAACTGTACCGTACTGTAAAAAACTTACAACGCATTTGTTTTTGGTGTTTTACGGTAAGTAGTGTATATGTGTTGTTTCTAAGTCTATAGGCTGGGTCGTGGGTGATAGTCGGGCAGGTGGTTAGAAAGGAGGGCCCATATATCGCTTTGTGGAGAAATATTAGGTTGTACCTTAGCCTACGATGCCATAAAGTTTCTAAAGCGAGGTGCTTACATCTTTCTGTGTAATCGAGATTCGAGTTACACCCTAGTAGTTGACGTGTGAAACGTCTTTGAACATCTTCTACTCTTATCTTGTCTGCGATATTCATATTAGAGAAGACAAAAGAGCAGTATTCAAGGGAGGGTCGTACACATATTTTGTAGAAAGTTTTTTTTTTTTTTTTTTTTTTTTTTTTTTTTTTTTTTTTTTTTTTTTTTTTTTTTTTTTTTTTTTTTTTTTTTTTTTTTTTTTTTTTTTTTTTTTTTTTTTTTTTTTTTTTTTTTTTTTTTTTTTTTTTTTTTTTTTTTTTTTTTTTTTTTTTTTTTTTTTTTTTTTTTTTTTTTTTTTTTTTTTTTTTTTTTTTTTTTTTTTTTTTTTTTTTTTTTTTTTTTTTTTTTTTTTTTTTTTTTTTACTCCATATAGTTAAGTTATTGAGGTCCTTTTGGATTTGGGATACACTTTCGCTTAGTGTCTCAGGCTTATAGCTGTATACTATTTTGAGATCATCAGCATATAAGTATGGTTTCCCAAATTCTATGGTGTTACATATATCGTTTATATACATAAGAAACAAAAGTGGACCTAATACGCTTCCCTGGATGACTCCACTGGTGATTGGTCTAGGGGACGAGAGACAGTCATTGTACTTTACCATCTGTTTACGTTCTGTTAAGAACGAAGCAAACCATGAGTACAGTGGGTTGTGTATTCCGAAGGACTTTAGTTTGACGAGTAGCCTTTTGTGTGGGACCTTATCAAAGGCTTTCTTAAAGTCTAGGAATAGGACTGATACAAGGAGTCCGCTGTCTCGTTTCAGAGTTATATCATTCAGGTAGTCTACTAGGCATGTATCGCATGATCTGGACCTAAGAAATCCATGCTGGGAGGTCGAGATGAGATTATTAGTTAGTAGATGTTGGACTACAGCCGCCTTAACTACTTTTTCCATCACTCTGGATACCACTGAAGTTATGTTTATAGGCCGGTAATTTTCAACGTTTGCTTCAGGTCCTGTTTTAATTTTGGGAATGATATGTGTAGTTTTCCAGGCAGTAGGGTAACACGCTGAAGAGAGTGATATCGCGAATAGTTTGAGAAGCAAAACACACATATCATCACCTCCACGTTTTAGCATGCTAGATGGATACCATCTGGTCCATCAGTGTAGGAGTGTTTCAATGTACTGATTGCCTTGGAGATATTTTGTACACTGAATTCTACATTAGTAATTTCACAGGGAGTTACTGGGATTGGTTCTGAATCATTAAATGGTTTTTCGTTAGTTAGTGAGAAACAAAAATGTTCACTAAATAATTCTGTGATAAGTTTGGGATCTTCGTATACTTGTTTGCCTTTAATGAATATACTCCCTCTCGATTTAGAGCGTTTAAGTTTATTTTGGAGTAGTATGGTGAGTGCAGAGGAGTTATTATTAAGTTCAACTGCACGTTTTTCCTGTGCTACTGCTTTTTGTTTACTTATTGCCTCTGTTCGGACAAGTATTTCTGTCATCGTTACTAAAGAGGAAAAGTCATTTAAGTTGTGGAATCGAGTACAATGTCTTTGAAGACGTCTTCTTGTACTGACCGGTATATAGAGATCTTTGGAGAACGTAGGTTTACAGTATTCTAAAGGTGCGATGTTGTTGATGATACTTTTGATGTTGTGATAAAATATATTGGTTAATGTGTCGGTATTGTTTGAGGTAAAGAAAGTTCTCCAATCAGTGCTTCTTAGTAATTGTGGTAGTTATTCCAATCAACCTTGCGATAGTTTCTACGAAGTGTTACGGTTTTACTTCTATCGGTTGTGGTTTTTACATTAAGGCTGCATATGACAATGTTATGATCACTACCTGGGAACTTTTTTCCAATATACAAAGTATTGGGGATGAGGCCACTGGTAAAGACTAAGTCTAAGATGTTTTGATGTCTGGTAGGGCTATCGACATACTGAGTCCATTGTCCAAGCTCTAGACATTCAATAAATGATTCATAACGTCTCGGCGCTTTGACTGGCAGCCAAGAAATTTCGGGCATATTGAAGTCACCACAAATGAGCTTGCCTGTGAATGAGAGGGATGATGCTAGTGTGAATACCTCCGATAATACTGCTATTTCATCTATTGATGCGTTAGGTTGACGATAAACACAGCCGAGCAGTAAGGTAACGGAATTCGACGGCTTTAATACAATCCACACCGAATCCTTCAGTTTGTTTAGTTCAGGCATATCACATAGCAGTGAGTTTAGGCTAGAGTGAGCGTAAATAAGGCATCCTCCGCCTCGTCCATTCAATCTATCGCTTCTATATAGGGAATAGTTATCAAGAGATATACTTCGGTCGGAAATATTACTGTTAGTCCATGCTTCAGATATCATAATAACTGATGGTTGATATATGGATACAAACAGGGCTAAATCCGTCTTTTTGTTGCAGATCGATCGAGCGTTGATAAGACATATATTAAGCAGGTGGCCTACTAAGTTAAAATGGGTGAGGGTATCTCGGATAAAATTGTCGTAACCCTCGCGCGTATGAGATGAGTTTGATGTGAGGGATTGGATGTTCTTCATTAGCTCGGTATTTTGATAGCTAGACTTATTGGGAGATGTATCAAATGAGCTAGTGAAGTTGATTGGGGAGTTTACCCAGGAGGAAAGGGTGGGAGTACTCTCTGGTGGAAACTGTACGGAGGAAACAAATTTATGGTTTGCATGTGGTTTGAAATAACCTGGGCTATATGCTTCAACAGAGGTGTCACTAGGGGTCTTATTCCAAAAAAATCTTGTACAGGCCTACTGTGAAGTGTATGGTTATTTACAAAATAGTCTTGATGGTTAGACTCGTAGCCCCTGTTATGGCTATTTAGGTTAGCGTGAGAGGGGTCTGCTACGCGTAACTGGGAGGAGTTGCGACTGTTGTTATACATGGGAGCCGTTGTTATGTGATGGGTCGGTACTAAAGGGTGTGAGAAGTTTTCTTTCTGAGAGTAATTACAGTTGCGATCCTGGGGAATGTAGGTAGGGTGTGGAGTGAGAAACCTATTATTACCATTCTTATTCATGGTTTTAGGCTTCAGGGGGTGATTTGGGTGGCCAGTTCTCTGGTAGTTTTCGTTAGTCTGCGTGTAAGAAGGCTTGCTACGTTGAAGCCCACCACCCTTTTTGCAACTTGGAGGTGTTGAAGGCAAGTTATACGATAGCAGCGGGGAGAACCTGTTCACTGTTCTTGGGATACCTATAGAGCAGTTGGGTTCAATCTTACGTGTTTCCCTATTCGGTATCATGAGTTTTGTCTTCCCACCCTTTATTTTCAGAGCTGGAGTCTTTCGTTGTCTCTGTGAGATGAACTTACGTTCATTCAAGTCTACTTGTGGAATATCTTTAGGAGGACAAATTTTCAAGTGTATAGGTTTAGTTGGATGTGTGTTGTTACACGACTCACATTTTAGTACATTACTGAACGAACAGCTGGGATTAGTCATGTCGTTATGGTTTTTGGTGTCAGTTGGGGTCCGTATCTTATCCAAAGGTTTCTGATCTGTAGACTCATCTAGATCAACAGAGTGATCAGCCGTATGTGGAGTGGTGTCATGCTTATTGTTCGTGTGTTTTAAACTATTTGCTGTGTTGCAAACTGTCTCTGGCTGATTATTAACTGTAACACTCCCATTCAATTCTATCGCTTCGCGTCTTCTTACACGACGTTGACAGGGCGTAAGGTCTGGAGTGACTTTTATATTCTTGTATGGAATTAGTGAGCTAATATTTTTGCTCAAATCGATAAACTGCTTAGCATCGTTACAACAGCCAAACATAAACAAGAGGGGGCAAGTCGATCTGTCTGACTTTTTTCTAAGGCGGATGACTTTGCAGTTAACGTTCGGCATACCGCATGCTCTAAGGCAAATATCCCTTAACTTAGATGGGTGTGTGCGGTCGGGGAGGTTGTACACAACTGCATTGAAGGAGGACATCACTCTCTTCGTCACTTCTTCAGCCACAAACTCCAAAATACACTCAGCTTTAGTGAGTTGCTCAAGATTTCTGTCTGTATCAAGGCCCCATATATGAGTGAGGGGTGCTAATTGCTCAAGTTTGCCGTTAATTTCGGATAGAGAGTTTTGTAGCTGTCGGATGTCATTACTATATCTATCAGTATTTTGGTGTGTATGAGGTGGACCATTGGACTCTTTAGTTTTTGAAATTTTAGATTTAGGCCTTGGTAGCACATACTGTCTAGTAGACTGTGCTGCCTTTTCGATGCACGTAGGTATAGTGTCTTGTATGTCAACCAGTCTTACCGTTGGCATACTGCACGTAAAGATAGAGGGGCTGCGACATGGAGAATCTGGTGACGATAGAGACATTTGTGTACAATACACATATTTTTCAGTAGTTAAAGGTTCGACATTGTCAAGCACTGAGTCGTCAGTTGTAGGGGTTACAGATTTGGACCTTTTATCTGGCTTAGAAGTTGGTGAAATTTCTCTTTTACTGGAGTTATTGGACATGATATGAAAATAAGTGAGCACAGTGCTCGTTAAATTAAATGTAATGCCTGAGTACTAGTTGTTATTAAGTATTAACCTGGTTAATACTAGGATTAGAGACTGTGAGTATATAATGAATTGCAGATCTATTTACGACTTAAGTCCGCAATAGGTACAATACGAACTCGTAATTATTCGTCGAATGAAAACAAGTTTTTTCCTTATTTTTCGGGGTAATATGTACCCGATGTACAGGATAGGATGATAATCACTGTATAATACACCCTACAAAAGAGCAAGTTGAAGAATCCCTAAACCACGTGAAAAAATGTTACCACTTTCAAAGTTCGCGGGCGAGTTGAATCGGCTATATCATCCGTTTTTTTCGTAACTGAAATTTTATGAGAGCTTTCACCTCTTATCTTTAGATTTCACATAGGCTTCAACGTTAACCTGGCTTAAAAATACTTTTATCTCATAATGTCTCCACAATATTCGGATTTGACCATTACTTGAATTTTCAACAATATTGTAGCGGTAAATAAATCCCCAAAATAAATAGCACTAAGTTTTCGACATTGGATGCTGACCATATGTTTTAGTGGACTCATCTAGCTGAAGGCGCTCGGTCAGGCATCCGCACCAGATCACGTGTGGTAACGCCGTGCTCAACATCAACCGCAATCGCTAGCCAGATTAGATCAGAGAATCCCGATATATTGGTCATCGCCAAATATACTCTTCCGATCTCCTCGACTCTGTCTTTTGATTTCTCTTGGTGGGAACGAAATATATTAGAAGGTGTTACTGGTAGAAGCGTTGTCAAACACTGAATACCTGTGACATCATCATTGGTGAGACCGTCGTGATCTGGTACACCTTATTGCAACTGTGAGTCTGTTCCTTTTTGGGATTTTTATATATCATTGCCTTATTTTTTTATTTTTTTTAAACATTGTGATTTTTTTTCGTGTTTTTTCTTGGATATATATATATTCCCCTCGTTCATTATCGTACTTCATATTTCATCATGACTGAACAGACACCTAAAGTACTCAAGCTTAAGACCTTGTCCCCACCTTCGTTTCAACTGATGCCTTTCTGGCCCGACAACATCGAAGCCTGGTTTTGCTACGCAGAAGCCGACTTTTCCGAGCACGGCGTGATCGACACACGTGCACAATTCCTCGCAGTAGTCAAGGCACTACCGCGCGAATTCAACAGGTACGTAACACCTAGTATGTTTACTAGTGATGTTTCCGATCCTTACGAAATCTTAAAACGCTCGATTCTTAAACGAGGAGACCTAACCGATCGACAAAGGTTAGATCAACTCTTCAACAATATCGACCTGCAACACGGTTCTGCGACGGACATGTTGCAACGGATGAGAGAGGTTATAGGCCCAAGAACTTTCGACGAAGGTCTATTCAAACAACTCTTCTTGTCAAAACTTCCCCAACAGGTGCAAGCAGTTCTGGTCTCGTTCCAGAACAACGCCTTAGACGAACTAGCTGTATCTGCCGACCGCATTCTAGAAATTACGAAACCTTCTACTACCGAGGTATTTTCAGTCAAAGAAAAGCCTCACACGACTCAGAATGACATAACCGACTTATGTCACACACTCACGCGTTATCTTAGTCTTCGTACCGACCGTAAGAGATCGCGCACACCACGTAGAAGCATTTCTCGTAAGCGATCTGTCTCTAGACCACGAGAGACAGATAACCCCGACTGGTGCTGGTATCATAACCAGTATGGAAAGTTTTCCAGAAATTGCAGAAAACCCTGCAATTTTCCCAACACGAAACCGACTGATTCGAACATTCGGGAAACTTCCAAGCCGGCACGCGTTAACGGCAACCGTAGCCGGCGAACAAAGCCGTCTGTTATTCGTCACAGATGTGACAACGAGAGTTCGCTACCTCGTCGACACTGGCGCAGAAGTTAGCGTTCTCCCAGCAAATCCTAACGACCGACTTCACGAATCGACCCTAAACTTACAGGCGGCAAA